ATATGCGTTTGCACACTTTACCGTGCAGTTCAGGCAGAGCCGTTTCTGACAAATAYTTTCTGCTCACCATCTCGTAGCGCGGCTCTAGCTGGTTAATCAGCAGCCGGAATCCTTTATCTCCATCAACTGAGAGCGGCTGTCCATCCATGACAATAAAGTTTAGTATCCCCTCAGTGATTTTTGTTGCCTGCACACTATTAGGTGGAAAATTTTCACCTCTTTCCTTCATCTCCTTCAAAGTCAGTTGCTTCATGCCGTCTCCTTTTTGTTGACTCCGTTCAACAAACTCCGCGTGCTCTTTCAGGTGAAATCGCTGGAGATGCTTGATTAAGTTGGTTGTGTTGTAGCTTGAAGCTTTACTTCCGCCCCTTGGAACAATCTGCGCATGTATTGCACGTAGCCATCGGATGTGTTGGGTGAGGTAAAGTAAAAAAGCTCTAGATGGCTGATCCTTTCGTTCGCTCCATTTTGAAAACGGCACGTGCCACTGCACTGCGTGTCGCTGGCGCATGACGTCGCATCACTTGCGGACCTTAGCATAGAAATAAACTGTATAGACCTGCCCCTATGGATCGGGTCCATTGCCACCGATACCCGATCTAGAAGTTTTTTAAATATCGGGACCGATACGATACTGGTATCGGATTGGTGCTTCTCTACCTGTGATTCTGTGCATCATCACATATTGTGACAACAGCTGCCGAAGATGTAAATTCACCACCAACCTCCTCTATCAAATCTCAACAAGTCATTTTTTTTGAACCAGTTAAATAAGGCCATGAATGGCACATTTCCTCCGTGTTGGAAACCATTGTGGGCATGCTGCTGCTCTGCTTTTTTATGAAGGAAGGTGTAATGGTACTTTCCTGCTTTGTTCAATGGACCAATTGCAGCAATTCCCCCTCTCGCCACTGATTACTTTTCTAACAAAAAAAAAAATCAAATAAACCACAAATAAAATAAAATAAAAAATAAATCGACATGACATGAATGTACTTTGTAATTCAACGCATTACAGAAATGTAGTTGAGTAGAAAGTACAGATACTTTATGTAAAATGTAGTGGAGTAAAAGTCAAAAGTACCCATGATGAAATCTACTTAAGTAAAGTACAGATACATGAAAAATGTACTTAAGTACAGCAACAAAGTACTTGTACTTAGTTACATCCCACCACTGCATGCAGGCCAATATAATCTAATATAAAATTTTTTGGTTTATATTGGACCAAAATTGATATTGGATTGGGACACTCCTAATCTTTAACTTTCAGTGTTGTTTTTTTAGTTTACAACAAATGCAGTGAAATGTTCTGAAATAAGGATGAGAGTGTTTGGGATGAGTAGAGAGGATCTTTTGCTTGTAATTTTATATTCGGGCTACATTTGTGTGTGTGTTTCACTCTGCAGCAGAACAAGATCGGCTTTGCTGCTGCCCAGCCCTACGGCCAGTGGGGCCAGTGGTATGGCAATGGACCCCAGATCAGCCAGTATGTCCCAAATGGGTGGCAGGTCCCCACCTATGGTGTCTACAGCCAGGCCTGGAACCAGCAGGGCTTTAAGTAAGTAGCTTGATGTGCACAGGGCTCCCCTTCACCACCTTCTCCTACTTCAGTACCACCAGATTCCCCCCTTCAAGACCAGGGGAGCAAGAGCCAGCCACAGGAGGGAGCTTAGCCTCCCCCGCCCACTCACCCTCACCAGACACTCGCCTTCCTCGACTTTACGAGCTCAAGACACAACCACACAACAATCTGAACTGAAGGTTTCTCTCTGATCCAGCTTCAGTGTTTTATTACTGCTCACTGTGGACAGCATGTCTTATATTTAAAGATGTTTTGTTACAAGCTCCTTTTTTGTTGATTTTTACCACCCAGTAGATCTAAAAGGTGCCCCATTTAAACGTGGAAACTAAATTTTGGATTTCAAAAGTTTAAAGCCAGCTGATGGACAAGACTTATTGAATACTAGAAAATTTTATTCCCTCCAACCCCTCCCCACTTTAAGGGTAGTTTGTTAATGAACACCTTGTTTTGCTTTTGTGAAAATTATCCAGAGTTGAAACTGATCTTCAGTGTTGTTTAGTTGTTTATGTTCATTCTTGTCTGTTTTTATGTTCTGTTTTTGATTTCATTGACTTTTTTTTTCTACATCAATGTAAGTTGGGAGTGCTGGGTGTCACTGTACACACATTTACAGACGGCTTCTGTGCACTGATGTGTGCTTTCAAGGGTAATTAAAGGACAGCCTTATGTTCCTGAATGTTTAAAATTAACAATGAACAGTTTTATAGTGTCAAGATGAATAAATGAACAATTCTAAATTTATAAATGAACAATTCCAAAAATGAGACAAGACCTGTCACCTCTTTAAAACCTTGTCCTGAATAAGCTGTCAAATCCCCATGCTGAACTTACAATTTATTCTGATTTCTTTTAATGATAAAGAATTTAAAAATTAAAATTAAAGTACTGTTCAAAAATTTAAAACGCCTTTGTTTCTTTACACTTTGCTTCCAAGGAGTCTGTTAAAGTGATTTAAATCAGTAGTTCTTCAGGTTTTCACTCATCCTGAAATGTTCAAATAACGAGAAAATCTGGACTTTGTGAACATTTTCTCTCATTTTCAGTTTCATTCTTCTGCAGATCATCAATTTTCCTTTAAACTCTCTTTTGGAATCACTTTAGTGCTAAAATACTGTTCGTTGATTCCATGAAAAATACCAAATACATGCAAATAAATGGTGTTTTTTTGACTCAAAGGGTTTAAAGGTACTTTAAGTACAAGAAAATGATCAGGATGTTTGAGTGAAAAAACAGCCAAAGTCCAAAAAAATAAAACAAAGCTGAAAACATTGAGAAATATTTATAAATTTGTTAAATGATTGTAAGGAATTTTGTGTCCTTGGAAGTGACGTAGAAAGAAATGAGACGTCTGAAGACTTTTGCACAGTACTGTAGGTGAGCTGATGTTTGTGTTATTGTGTGGTTAAATGTAAAGTGTGGTAAGACGGCTGAAAACGTCCACATCATGTGGTTTATTTGTAGGTTGGAAGGAACTGATTTGTTTCAGAAACTTTCTGCAGGGAAGGTGGATGAAAGGAAGATTTAGCTTGCTGCGCTTAACCTGTTTGCCTTTGTCTGCTTGCCCACCCTGTTTAATCAAACGACACCTTCTTTGATCTCTTTAAACGGCTCTCATTTCCTGTATCCCTGTGTGTTTTTTCTCTAGCCTAATTGTTTTTTTTACCCAGCTTTCTCACCGTCACAATCTTCTTAATCTAGTCTGTTCAAATTCTAGTAACTCTTGTTGGCTCTCTTTCGCCTCGTCTCTTCTAACCTGCTGGCATTTTTGTCTTTCTCTCTCTTTACCTCATCTTTTGCAGTCACTTACCGGCCAGTGCTGGGTGGACTGGCATGAGCGCCATCAGTAACGGTGGGGTTATGGAGCCTACACAGGGACTGAATGGAAGTATGCTAGCCAACCAGCCCGGTATGGGAGCTACAGGATACCCCACACACTGATTGGTGGGCAGGGTGGGAGATTTGTCAGGAAACAGCCTCCTATTGGCTGCGTGCCGCCCTGCACAGGGTCTGTTAAATATCGCCTCAGTTTGTGGCAGGACTAAGACTTTTTTTTACAGGATGTTGAACCTTGTGAGAAGGTTGACATCTGTGAAATGTAAATGGAATTTCATGTGGGGTTGAGCAAGCAGGAGCCATGGAGCAGAGGTTTGACCCCCACAGGTATCTACACCCCTTTCTGGTAGGACGACTGGCTGTGAACCAGGACTCCTGCCATTTTTAAGTTAACTGTAAATGAGTATAAAACTGTAAAGGAGAAACTTTTGGATTTTCTTTTCTGGGTTTTAAAAATTGCTTCCATTTTTCATGTCCTTCCTGTTTGACAGCCACTGGGACGTTCTTGTTTTCTTTTCCTTAAACCAAGTCACTCTTAATTACATGAGAAATGGATTATTTTTTTCTTGGATTAAAAATAATTGCAGGGATTGTTACCACTGCTGTTTTCTCTGTAAGAGCAGATAAATATTGCACAGATTTTTCTCTCTTCTACTCGCCAGACAAATTCGGCTACATGAGTATTTCCTCTTTTGCATTCCGTTTCTCCTTCATGTCTTCTCGACAGCCTCAAATCTCGTTTGTCACGTGTAAATAACCATTCAATCCATTCATTTGAAACAATGTAAGTAAAAAGCTACTGTTAACTGTGGGTGCTTGCTTTGAGTTTTGTTTTGATAATTTAACAGTTGACTCCAACATTGTACGTAGCAGAGTGACACTATCAAACGTGACACTGGTACAGTGAACACAATTCTTCCATGCAGGGAAAATACAGCATTGCCATGCAGTGCATATTTAAATTTAACACGATTCAAATGGTAACGGGTGGATATGTATGTTTGAAACAGATGTTTTTTTTTTAAGTATACTGAAACCAGACATTTTATATAGAACATCTGGGTGAATTGAACCTTTCCACTTGCTCTTTTTGCCAGTGAAATGGGGAGGCCTACATTGTAACTGTTGCCTTATAGAGCTGGTTTCTTTTAGCTGACAAAATCCTCTTTCTAATTAGGCAGTGCCTACWGACATTTTCAACCCCTTTTTGTTTAGAAAGGTGTTAGCCCTGAGACCTGATGACTCTGCTACTGTAATCAATGTTTTCTTGCTTTGTTCAATTAAAATGCTAATGCACAAATACCACAATGTGTTTGGGTTTTTTCCCCCCTCGTGTAGCTTTTTATTCCAAGAAAATCATGGAGTTTATTTTTGTCTTGATATTTTATTTGAGAACAGGAGTGGTCTTAATTAAAATGAACTATTTTTCTATACTGTGAGCAAAACATGTTCATTCAGGGTTCCTGTGGATCCTTAAAGTCTTAAAAAGCATTAAATGCATCAAACAAAAATAAGGCCTTAATTAGCCTTAAAATGTCTTGAATCAATTTTTTTGAGGGCTTAGAAATATTGCCACATTGTAAGTAGGATAATTGTAATTCATCTCAAATTTTAAAACAATTGGTAACATTTAAAAAATAATTTTAAAGAATGCCTCTCGCAGCTCGTGTAAAATTTTTGACTTTTCCCATTTGTATGTATTGTGAAGTTGGTCTTAAATTTCATTTCAAGTGGCATTAAAGAGGTCTTAAGTCTTAAATTAAACTTGTCAAAGGCAGAACTGAACACAAAATATGAATGTATATAAATGTGTTCATATTTTTTTTATAAAGGGCTAAATTTTCAGTTTGTCCTGCGTTTCCCATTTTTCCCTGCTTTTTTAAAGCTTTTCATATAGAAGTTTTATTTAATGAGACTGAATGTTAAAGAACATTTTTTGACATATCAAGACTTTATTTACCCAAACTGTTAATGTTCATTAGTAACAAAGACCAACCACAATCATTGCAGTTTCAATAGTTTGTATTGAACCATGAATTTAGGTTTAGGTTTTGGTCAAAGTAACTCATGTTTCATCTCAACATTTACATGGCTAAACTACTGTTAACATGGTTACCACTGAGGGATGAGAAAATGGTTTGTTAGGTTTATAACATTGACACACACACACACATCCTTGTATTTACATTAAACAGAATTTGTATTGACTTCCATTCATTTTTTATAACTATTTTCCCCAACACGAACCATTACTGGTCTATAGTTAACCTAACCTGAACCAGAACTTAATTCACACCAATCCTCTAAACCTAACTAGTAAAGCACAGCAGAGCTGCAAAGTGAGGAAGAGGAAAATGTCCTCATTCTACATCAAAGACCTCACTTTGATAGTAACTATTTTGCAAATGGTCCTCACTCTGTAATCGCAACAAGCACACACCAGATCCTGCATGGACACATGCAATACTTGTAAATGTGGAAAAAATGTTGCAGAAAAATCTGTGGATGAATTATTTCACATTAGTTAATGATAAAAAGGTTACCAGATGTAATATAAAAATTAATTTATTCTGTTACTGCAGTTCAGTTTAGTTATTGACCAGAAACCTTAAACTTGTCGGAAAACAATACAATATTTACTTTCTTTGTGTAAAAACAGATTTGACTGAGGGCACATGGGTTGCTTAGAGCAGTGTTTCCCAAAGTTGGGGTCGGGACCCAAAGTGGGGTCCCGAAACATCAAGGTGGGGTCCTG